AGCTACCCCAACAGAACGCTCGCAGAGCACGAACTGCCTCATCCACCCTCCCTCAGCACCCAGCCCCTCTCACTGGCAGGAACCAGGATGGCACAGAGATCAGCCACAGGCAGGAAAGGACTCTGGAAACCGCACCCTCCTTCCAGGGGCCCAGCACACTGGCACAAGGGTACCCTGCAGGCACCAATAGCAGCCAGACCCAGACCCACAACTCTGATACCTGCCGTTCCTGCCTGGTGCCTTCCACTGACACTTCCGGCCAAAGTCAACATGGGCAAGATGATAGGGGAGCACATTGAAACCCTAACTGTGAGAAGAGAAGTCTAAGGGGGTATTAAATAGCAGCCTTCAAGTTCCAGAAAGGAAGTTCCAAAAGAGGCTGTCCTTAGTAGTGACGGATGGCAGAACAAGGAGCAATGGTCTCAAGTTGCAGTGGAGGAGGTCTAGGTTGGATATTAAGAAAAACTATTTCACTAGGAGGGTGGGGGAGCACTAGAATCACCACCCTTAGAGGTTTTTAAGTCCTGGCTTGACAAAGCCCTGGCTGGGATGATTTAGTTGGGGTTGGTCCTGCCTTGGGCAGGGGACTGGACTTGATGACCTCCTGAGGTCTCTTCCAGCCCTAGGATTCTAAGAGCAGCACCATTGTTATGTCCCTCAACCTGCTTCCCCGGGGGAGGGGGGAGGTCTCTCACATAGGAGCCAGGATCTCAACCTGCTTCCCCGGGGGAGAGGGGAGGTCTCTCACATAGGAGCCAGGATTATGCCTTGTCCTGACATTTTGGGACAAGGGACATGGAGGGACTCTGAACCAAACTCAACCCAGCTGCTCCAGAGCCCACCCAGCTGTGGGACAAGGGACAAGGAGGGACTCTGAACCAAACCCAACCCAATTCTCCTGCATCACATCCCAGTAGAGGGCTCTCTGGCCCAGCTCCACCAGAGCCCATTCCTCCTCTGAGAAATATACAGCCACTTCCTCAAAACTCACCACCTCCGCCAAAGCCATTTCCTTATCCTGCCTTTGCAGGCCATAGGTTGAACTGAGCAAGACATGGATGCTCTGCAGCCTGTCAGCAGGGGTAGGAGGACGATTTGAAACATGTCAGAAGGGGCTTTAATCTTTTCCATACCCCCATTCTCCCCAGACTCTGTTCCTCTTGACACGCATATTAGAACAGGGGTCGACAACTTTTTCTAACCAAAGAGTCAAACAACATCAAAATGCAGAACAAGTGGTCAACAAAGAGCCATATAAGCATGCTCATTTGCATCACTCAAAATATACAACAATATTATTGATCATTGACATGATGATTAAGAATAGCATAAATGAAACATTGTTTTCACAAACTCTAGTTAATGGGACTTCTGCTGCTCTGTGTTTTTGCACATTTCTTTGAAGTTTACATCTAGTTAATGGGACTTCTGCTGCGCCATGTTTTTGCACATTTCTTTGAAGTTTACATGCAGGCATTCAGGCTGACTTCTTTCAGTCGTATGGTAGGGGGCTGGGGATGTGGGGGCGTAGAAGTGAGGGTTGGAGTGTATGAGGGGCTCAGGTCTGGGGGTTCAGGTGTATGATGGGCTTGAGGCTTCAGTCTTATGGTAGGGGGCTGGGGATGTGGGGGCATAGGAGTCATGGTTGGAGAGTATGAGGGGCTCAGGTCTGTGGGTTCAGGTGTATGATGGGCTTGAGGCACAGGGTGGGGAGTGTGTGGGGGTACAGGAGGCAAGGCAGGGCTCTGGGGGTTAGAAATAGATTATGTGGGGGGGGCTCTGGGGCCACATTATCTTACCTGGCTGGGCTGCTGCACCCTGGGGCCACATTATCTTACCCGGCTGGGCTGCTGGGCCCAGGTCAGAATCGCCACAGCCAGATCATGGTCTCCCTTCCTACCTGTGCCACACCAGGAGAGGGGAGGCTGCTAGAAGCCATTTCTGTGGCTAGATGGGAGCCCCCAATAGGGACTTGTTGACCAGGCTGTCACAAGAGCAGCTGCATCACAGCTGCAGCCCCAGCCCCAGCACACGGAGCAAGCTGCCTGCCATGGGCAGCCACCATGCTGGAATGTGAACTGGGATAACAATGCAGGTGTCCCAGTAGAGCTGTCTGCACTGCAGCCCAACTCAAGCTCTGGCCCACCGGGCAAACAAAAATGACCAAGAGAGCCATATTTGGCTCGCGAGCCAGAGCTTGCTGATCCTGTACTAGACTCTGCCATTTTGGGCAAATCCTTGAGTCTAGATACTCCATAAACAGGGCACACAAGTTAGATCCCAAATCCACATTCATGTCTCTCAATACCGGGCTTGAGTTTCAACATTCCCGCACCTGCAACAATGGGATTCAGTTCTGAGCACCCAGTGCTTCTGATAAACCAGCCATTTATACTGCTGTCCAAATATGGATGTAGGTGTCTAAATTTCAGCTGCTTTATTTAACACTCCTAGTCTTTATGCATTTATTCTTTATAATCCCTCTCCACAACAGAGATTTAGTGAAGCCAAGGGGAACATTCAGATTATTGAACATGTCTGGTGAGTGTTTGCAGGATGAGATCCTAAAATGCATAGACTCACAGTGTGCAAAGGAAACATTCGTCATGTAGTCTGACCTCTTCTATGGCACAAGCAATTACACTTAGCCCAGTTACCCAGGCACAAAGCTCTATTTCCCCAAAGCATGTTTTCTAGAAAGTCGCTCAGTGTTGATTTGAAGACATCAAGAGATGGAGAATACACCACCTCCTTTGGCCATTTGTTCCAGTGGCTAATCCTCTTCCCCATCAAACATTTGTGCCTTCGTTCTAGCCTTCGTTCTAGACATGTGTACATCCTGCACATGTAGGCTCCTCAGCTCCAGTGCTACTTCCTCCCACAGCCGCTGGGCAAGGCACAGCCTATCCTGCTGCCAGGGAAGGGGGAGGGCACCAGCCACTCACAAAACCACAAGAGCCCAACCCAGCCAGCCAGACCCTGAGCAACCCAACCTGCTGCCTGCCCTGTGGGAGTAACTGAGGGAAGTGCCACTGTTACCAGGAGTTCAGAGGGACCCAGGTGAGGCAGAAACCCAGCGATGGAAGGGGGAGGGAGGAACGGCACTTGTCCACCTGTAGCTTTGCAGCCCATGAAGGGGAGGAGGGGGTATGGGTTTGCTTTCTGCATTCCTGACCAGTGACCTACAACTCAGAAGCTGGAGCTGGCGCTGCAGCCTTGCAGCTACTCACCAACTGCGAGGCTCAAGCAGCAGCAGAGGAGGTGGGGGGCTGAGCTCAAGCTGTGGCAGGAAACACTCTCAAGTTAAAGAATGAGATTCTGGACATGCACATGTAAATACAGTTCACTCAGTTTGCTTAGGCCTGCTAGATATTCAACTGTTACAGTGGTGTTTTGCCTATGTTAACCAGTTTGGCTGTTGTGGGGTCACAAACTGTGTTAACATTAAATGCAGGAACTGTGAGATATGATCAGCAATCCTTGCAGTTATTGTGAGGATGCAGAATAGTCAGACCGTGTTTAATTCAATTCTAAGGACAGAGACTGTCAGTGTAAAGAACCTCCATGACCCAGGGTTCCCCTGCCAAAACTCTGTGAACTGGGAGAGGGCAGGACTCAATCAGCAGGCTACATGCCCTCCAGGTGTGAACTGTAAGACTGGTTCAACCTGTTTCTCCTCCCTGTTCTAATGATAAAACTAGAACAAACTCCATAAGAAGTCTCTTTATTTTTAAAAATTTACTCAGGTGGATGCTGGAATTTCTTGTGGCTGGGCCAAGAGCTGAGATCGCTAAGTTTAGCCTAGAGCCAAATCCACCACAAGCCAGCAGATGTACCAGGTGGCCAGCAAAGCGGCAGCATGATGAGCATGCAGCAGGGGGGCGAGGGAGAGGCACACTGAGCGGCTGTCAGGGTAGTGATGGGGACACTGCTGGTGAACTATGGGTTGGGGGTTGCTTCTGGCCACACAGTTTGGAATGGGGATGTGGTGTTTCCCTAAATCAGTGCTCAGTTCCTTTCCCTTTTAATCAAAGTTTTCTTTTGTTCCCCATTCAGAAGCACTGAGTCTGAGTGTAAATATTGCGTCTTAGGGCAGAGCAGGGCTACTCAACTTTGGAAGCCCCAGGGGCCATAATGATACTCACAGCACATGCTGAGGGCTGCAACTTAAGGGTACGTCTAGACTACCGCGTTTTGTCGACAGAAGTTTTGTCGACAGTATCTGTCGACAAAACTTCTGTCGACAAAGAGCA